CCACCCAACCCGTCCAACGTCCCGCTGGGCACCGGGACGCTTCCCTGGTGAAGAATCGCGGAGCGTGGCGGCGAGGAGGAGCAGTCGGCGATCACGACGTCGTCCTCGTCCTCGCTCGACAGCGCGCTGAACAGGTGGCGCCGTCTGTCGACGACCAACTCGCTAGCGCCCGCCGAACCGCTCTCGTGCGCGCCGCGTTGCCGCGGCGACGTCGCGACGAGCGAAGGCACGTACTCAAAGCTCTCGTGCGCGTCGTCGTCCGTAGCGATACTCGCAGCATCCAGCAGCAGACTAACATCGAGGGATGCGGGCGGAGTGAGCGGCGGCGCCTCAGCGGCAATGCGCCCGTCGTCGTGGCGACGGCCGGCGAGGCTGAGCATCCTCAGATGATCGACGTCCTGCGTCGCGCTATGGCGATTTACCGACGACTGTCCGATAAAATCGCTGTACTGCATGTCACCAGGAGGCGCCATATCACAGATTGGGTCCGTCTTCGGTTCTGCCTTCTTCTTTTGCGAGCAGAGGTTGATGACATCCTGCGTGTACACTGCAAGACACACAGGATTGCGTCACACACAGCCACACGTTACACACAGGCGCGCGTTCACACACACAAGAGTACAGCTAACAGCCAGTAGCTGATAATAGCCGTAGAAATGTCAAAATGATGAATCGAATGGTCGAAATGACTACAGCTGCAGCTCAAGTGCATCAATAGCTGCTTCCACGATCATCTTCATGTGCCAATAGACGTTACAACTATAGACCTGTTCAATGATACTAAGGGCTCATAAAATTGTGATAATACCACAACAGATGGCGCCAAAAACAAGACGTCACATGTGTGACAAACAAGACGTTCTCAGTGTGGACATTCATAACTTATATTTCGACCTGCTTCTGTTGTTCCAGTAAGCTTACAGAATTCTAGTACCTGTGCAGTCACGTGCCACGTAAATGCAGATGTCGTCGAAAGCCTGGCTCGACCTGCTTGCCTCTTCCATCGCCTCTCTGCATAGAAAAATTAAACTGTCTATGAAGGACTACTGACCACACATGCCGTGAATCTGTCTCCACATTTACACGTTGTCAATAATAGCATATCACCGCACTGACAATGTTATAATCGTGTCCCTATGATCTCTGCCAGCCACTCTCGTGTAATAGTATGTGAGAGCACATGCCCTTTCTTGCTCAGCCTGATTGCAAACCATGTGCATCGTATGACTTAGACTACATCTACTATATCTTATACTTATACTACTTCAAATGAGCGCGATCAAAGATGAATCTTTTAGTGTTTAATTAACTTGCAATTAGCTTGCATGTAGTATACCACCAGTGGTATTGCCAGCTGCTGCATACTATAGTTATATATATATATATATATAGATTGTATATTATAGATATTCATTATCCGCGTGTAAATGTGACATTCAATCGATCGCCCAAAATCCATCACACGTCGACGTCAGCGCGCCACGCGAACGAGCGAGGGCGCCACCTACTTGAGCAAGTGCGCAACGGACGCCGGCCCGTACCAGTCGCCGGGTTTCTTGCCAAGCCTCGCTCCGATGCTAACGAGGGCGTGGAGCGAGAAGGGGCTGCGTTGCGCGTCCGGGGCATCGGCCATCCAGCCAATGATGCGCCGCCGCAGCGATATCGCCGACGCCGTCTGCTCCGCGTACAGGTTCCAGTCTGCAAACAGGGTCACGGCGAGGTCATGGCGAGGTCACACGCACGGGTCATGGCAAGGTCACGCGCACGGGTCATGGCAAGGTCACGCGCACGGGTTACGGCAAGTCATGCGCACGAGTCACGGCGAGTCATGTGCATGGGTCACAGCGAGGTCACGGCGAGGTCAAGCACACGGGTCACAGCGAGGTCACACGCACGGGTCATGGCAAGGTCACGCGCACGGGTTACGGCAAGTCATGCGCACGAGTCACGGCGAGTCATGTGCATGGGTCACAGCGAGGTCATGGCGAGGTCAAGCGCATGGGTCACGGCGAGGTCACGCGCATTGGTCAAACCAAAATAAGTTGATTAACAACACCATAACCAATTTGAATTTATGGCATGAGCAATGTTATTATTAAACCACACGCACGCACGCACACACACACGCGCAGTTGCTATACGAATGCACATTTATTTAGTAGGATATGTAACAGTGACCTCGTGTAAGTTATTATAGTTATGTGGTTACGTGTAGTTATTTAATAATATTGTGCACACTGCTTATAGTAGCGCTGTCCACGCATAACCACTCCCCCTCAAAGAGCTAAATATAACAAGGAGAGGAAGCGCATTGGCTGTGTGCTGTTCGCCTCAAGGGTGCCATCTATGGACCATAATCAGGTGAAACGCCTGTGCAGACCGAACGCAGAGACAATAGAACACTAATCTGTTCTAGGGTCTCTGCCAAACCCAAATTTGGGCCAGATATGGCGGCGCTTCCTCTCCTTGTTATATTTAGCTCCTTGCTCGCCCTCACTCGCCGACCCGGACGACCTTCCAGCAGGAAGACTCACCCCTGCTGAGGAAGTGGACAAGGAGGCCCTGTGCTAGCATCATCTGTCCCGACCGCATCATGCAACCCCATCCGCAGTCCGACGTCAGGCTGGAGCTGGGCAGCACGGGGAAGTCGCGCCGGTACGTGAACCACAGACGCGAGGAAAAGTCCTGCTGGAAGCGCTGCAGCGGTGTCGCCACCTTGCGCCGAGGCGACGACCGCTCGCCGCCAGGTTTTCTCGATCCTGTTGCACAACAGGTAGCGTAGTAAATCGACGAGAGAAAATTCGCCTCATTCTGCGTTGTACGCGATTGCGAATAAACGGGGAGATTATCGCTGATGCTGGAACGTGACGTGATCCTTGGCGCTCGTAAGCATACAGGACATTCAACCTCAAGATCGTGGTTCGGGTCCCATATAATTTCTGCTTTCTAACACATAATAACTACTTTTCTACTACATTGTAGTCGTCTAGCTTAATTACCTTACCTGTTGCCTTGGCATGATGATCATGGTAGGACTTTCCCAACAGCCAGATTGGCAGATCCGTGTCAAATGTTGTCTTACCAACATTGGCGGACCAACCTGACATTGAGTTAACTTGATTAAGCTCTGTATGCAAACCTCATTGATAATTTACAGCCACCGACTTCAGCAATTATTATTGAAAATTTGCAATAGCAAACATTTATTTAGCTATGTAGTGTGGACAAGTTAAGAAAATATATATAAACACGTAATACTGTTAGAGATTAACAATTCTATGTTTGCTTCCGTATTTTCGAGATGAGCCTGATGTTTGGAGTGCTAAAACCACTTGTGTATATTTACCACAGCTTTAGCACTTTATTCATAAGGTTTATCACCCTCCGACTCTCATTCCTTCACCCGAATCTCACCATATTTCACGTTGTTCCACACCGAGAGAAACTTGCTGCGCATCTTTTCCGCTTGCTCGTCCCATATCTCCGACTCGTTGCGGGGGGGTGCCGGCGACGCACGAACGTTGTGCGCTGACAATTCAGGAAGACTGTGAGTATTCCTCTTGGGACCGGAAGCAGCCAAGTACATCACATCTTCCGGAAATGAAACAGATGTCACATGCTGATCGTCATCAACGCCATCATCTCCCGCTTGTCGGATGACGTCAGCGTTTTCACGATTGCTGGAGCCAGGTGCCGATGTCTGTCTTCCGAAATTCGACAGATACGATGTGAATTTGGAATTTGACAACATCGCCTTTCGGTGACTGCGGCACTTGTGAGTTTCATACTAATGCGAACGACAAGTTCAGGTAGACATAGCGACAAGTGTGAAGTTCACTGCCAACTCTAGTGTGAAGTTCTGCAATCAGAATAACAAGAGAGTTGGTGGTTATTTACAAATTCATATTAGCTTCACACACCTCCACAATTCTCGCGTTCGCTAACCTTGCCCAGTAAATGTAAATGGCTGCAAGTACAGGGCTATATAGACTGGTACTCGCTCCCACCCCGATTACCCATCGAGTAACTAAGCTAAGCCGAGAGGTGGGAGCGAGTGCCAGTCTATGGGCTATAGGCGGCGCGCAGGCGGGGCACTGCTTTCCAACTCCCATACGAGCCTCGCCATTGGAACGTTGCAAAAACGTTGCAGCGCAAGAATGAGGTCACGAAGAGCGCCGGTAGGTGTTTCCTGATTCTGACAGCCAATTACATTTACTGGGCAACGTTAGCGAACGCGAGAATTTCATCACTCTGTGTGATTTCGCGTGACACAGCTCGGTTACGAACACGGACAGTATGTTTTTATAACAAGTGAACACTGTTCTTGAAAGAGAAACAAAGATGGAAGCTGTTGGATGTGTATTCGTGCTGTGAAAGTGTGAAATCAAGCGAGCGTCGAGCAAATTTTGCGATCACGCTTTCCTACCTGCTATATATATAAGTGTAAGCATGCAACAGTGCAGCCGCGAGAGCAATGGCCGCCGGCAGCGTATGTTAGACGTAGGATTTGGACGGAATTTACAGGAAACTGTCGGCAATAATAGGTGAAAGAGAGTATAGAAACATTAAGAATTTGGTAGTAGATAGATTTCGTATCTAGTTAGCATTATATTTTATTGAAACGCTTCAAGTGCCTGTGACCTGAGGCTTAGCCTAGGCCTAAGGTGCCTAAAGTGGATTTGCACCGTAGGTACTAGTACTAGTACTACAACAACTACAACTACTACAACTACTGAAGTAGTGCAGTAGACTGAGTAGTACTGGTACTAGTACTAGTAGTACTAGTAGTACTTACTAGTAGTATTAGTAGTACTAGTACTAGTAGTAGTAGTAGTAGTACTAGTAGTTAAAAATCGGACATACCACAGGCACAGACTCACTGTGACTGTCACAGACACTGAGACAGGCCGTGGCCAGTGACAGTCAGTGAGGCTGAGAGGGTCTATGTCCCCCGGGGTACTGCCGGAGCGTACCCTGGCCCTGGGTACGGTCCGGTATACCGGAACGTACCCTGGTACTATCTAATATGCCGGACCGTACCTCGCCTACTCAACTAACGAGTCTAGGGAGTCGCCTACGCCTACTCCCTAACCCTAATCCTAACCCTAACCATATCAAATAGTGACCAGGGTACGTTCCGGCAGTACCCTGGGGGACATAGACGGCTATGATAGTATGAGTATGAGCGTCAGTGAGTCACAGTGTCAGTTAGATACAATAATGTAACCCAAACCCAAGAGGATAGGGTTACAAAGTGTCCCTATCCTTTTCTGCGGAGGAATGCCCGAGTGAATCACTCGGGCCGGTTTGCTGGTGCGTTTTCAGATACTAGAACTTCCAAACTGGGTTTATTCTAAACACGAACCTTTCTCCGCTATTCGGGAACTCACAATGTATCGCAATACTCTGTATTAAACTAATATAACCTGTTAAAAAAATTCGAAGTGACGAGCGGCGAATATACTGAGCGCCATTTCTGTTGACCTGTGACGTACGCATTTCCCAATGCGCATAGCGATCGGCAAACGCAGCGCCCTCCGATTGGTCGGTGAATCCACTCTTCAAACCGAAGTACGTCACAGGTCAACAGAAATGGCGCTCAGTATATTCGCCGCTCGTCACTTCGAATTTTTGTAACAGGTTATATTAGTTTAATACAGAGTATTGCGATACATAGTAAGTTCCCAGATAGCGGAGAAAGGTTCGTGTTTAGAAAAACCCAGTTTGGAAGTTCTAGTATCTGAAAACGCACCAGCAAACCGGCCCAAGTGATTCACTCGGGCATTCCTCCGCAGAAAAGGTTAGGGACACTTTGTAACCCTATCCTCTTGGGTTTGGGTTACATTAATTATTGTATCTAAGTGTCAGTGTATCGCCCTAAAAATATTTCAATGAATAATAAAAACTTTAACGTCAAAATTCAAATTATACAAATAACAACTGACATATTCAAAGAGTCAACTTCCACCTTCATGAGTTACATGTTACATAAGAGTAATATTTACATGAGAGTCGAGACTAAGTCTAAGAGTACGTCATATTATAAGTTTATACGTCAACTTGTGTTTACCACGGTTATCTTACATCGCCACATCTAAGTTAATGTAAAAATGGTTTGAGAATGCCCAGCAGATGGCGCCTATTGGCAGTCTATAAATCCCCAACGGCCGTACAACGACGGAATATTTAGTAACATAACATAACGTAACATAACATAACATAACATAACATAACATAGTAACGTAACAGTTCATAATTAACTGTACTGCTGAGGCTGAATAGGAATTATGGCGAAACTGAAACTGTAGAGTTTTTAAAGCGAGTTCTGGGATCTACAAAAAAATTTCGGAGAAAAAACTCACTGTAACATTCTTAGATAAAGTAGCTAAAAAAATAACTAAAAAATAAAAAATAGGGAAATTATGTCGGTTCCTCTGTGTAAATCATGATTATCATTCGATCTAAGGTTCCGGATCATAATTCAAATTTAAATTCAAAATTCAAATTCAAATAAAATTTATTGCACGGATAATCGCTGATCATACAGGCAAATACAAACTACAATAAAACAAGTTTCTATACTAATAAAAACAAGAGAGAAACGATGTGTCTTATACTACTTGACATGACTGCATGACCCATGGTATATAATTTAATACATACATACATATATTTGGGCTACTACTGGTAAAGAGGGTGGGTTGGTAAAGAAACACATACCGTATACAAATCACAAAATTGCTCGTTTTATACGAATATAAACGAATATATATATATATATGCATATATATATTGCTAATTACATCTATTATTGATTATATCAGAAGTGCATAAAGGATAAAAGGAAATGCAAGCAGATATATGCTTCGTACAGTCATTTATATATACCATAAGACAAATAAATGAACACACACGTAGATGCACATGCATACGCGTGGGTGTTCATGTATGAGTATGTGTTCGCGTGTTTGTGATTTTTAATTCTTTGTCTACATTAATTCGCAACTATAGTCAAAAAAAGTTTATATATAACACAGGTAATATATAACATATATTATAATAAAGAGTAAGAACATTTTTCGATTAATTCTTGAAATAAATACTGGCGTTAGTTGCTATAGCGTGTTACTTGAACCATTTTACGACCATACAAAAATATTTCAAGTGATACATTGTAACAATGAAATCTTTAATTTCTGACGACCTGCTCGTAAAGCCCGCCGCACACGCTGTGTTTTGTGTGCAGCACAAAACACAGCGTGTGCGGCGGGCATAACCGCATATATATATTCTTAGCGTTTTACGAACGCTAAAAAACATTAAATTATTATGATTTGAATAATTAATTTGCTCTGTATATATAGTCAGAGCATGTGTATCGTATGACATACGTGCTTTGATATAGTGAATCTCAGACGATTATGAGATGTACAATTCTCATTGAATAAAAACGTTATTGCGTATCTATATAGGCGATATGCGCAGTGATAAAATGACTGCGGAATGATAAAATTGTAATTTTATTAGATCTACTCGATTAATTCATTTTATAAATGTTTTTGCTTAACTTTGTAAGCGCGGGGTTATGTACGTACGGGTTATCTCTGTTCATGCATCCGCTTGGTACCGTACTTGTATCCCACCAGCTTGGCCAGATCATATCATCTCGGGCTTTCACGACCTTGAGCGCGTGTCCCACACATGCCCCCATGATTGGATGTCTTGGCATCCACGTGATGTTGTGATGATGGGAGTCGGCCATAACGTGTTGTGAGACCAAAACATTAGTATTGCGCGTTGACGGGGTTGCATTGTTCGTTTGTGTAAATCTGTGATAAGATTTTTGAAATTAGAAATCCATATTTTAAAATAGCGAACCGCGACAATTTTTTTGTCATTAAGCGGGAAAGCTGTAATGGTGGCCCCAACACAAGTGTAATGTGGTTTGTCATCTCATGATTCATCGTCGTGGCGGGAAAATGACCATGGTAAGGCTTTTGTAGGTAGAAAGTAAAGTCCGCTCAATAATGTGACGTAATTAAATAATTCCGTAGTCTACAAAAATATCGTGTGTAACATGGTAACCAGCGTGGCTGTCCAGACTGTTCGTTTATCACCCTGTGTCGACATGCCAAACAACTTCAAACACCAGGCACTCGTGGCCAAATTCTAGCTTGCCAGCTGCTGATGGTGGCACTGGTAGGCCCTACTACGTACTAGGGATTAGGGTTTTAACTTTTGGTCGCAGGCTAAATTTATTCAGCATTTTCCTACAGCACACGGTTATCAGTGCACATCCACTACATCAGGGATGAAAATTAACACTCGCCCAGTCGCCAGAGGCGAGTGGAAATAATGTTGGGCCCCAGAATTTCATCGAAAAGGTCACTACGTAATGCGAGGTTTGTTTATAATCAGTACTGCGTAGGAATTAATATACTGACTGTTTCACTGCTATGATTACGCCCACTACGGGTTCAGTGCTATGATTACGCCACTAACGGGTTCAGTGCTATGATTACGCCACTACGGGTTCAGTGCTATGATTACGCCATTACAATTTGCTCACCATCATCTACAATTTTGATACATTTTTTGACCACTAGAAATAGAATGAAAACTAATTCAATCTATGCTAGGAATAGTACTGTATAGTACTAGTAGTAGTAGGAACACGTTGTCACAATGTCGTCATGGGGACGGCCATATTACATGTTGATTCCAGCCTGGTGAAAACCATGTACGGCACTTTGGAGTGTTTTCAATAAAATATATATGCTAAATAAGATACGAAATCTATTTTACTACCAAAAGTCTTTAATGTGTTCTAGGCCTACTCTCTTCACCTATTATTGGCCGACAATTTCCCGTAAAGCCGTCCAAATACTCGTATGTCAACACACACTGGCTGCTGCACGCTATAGCTGCTGCACACTGACACATAAATAAATAAATATTTATTATATTATATATATTTACATAAATAAATAAATATTTATGTGTCAGTGTGCAGCAGCTAGCGTGCGGCAGCCAGCGTGTGTTGCATGATGAGCATTTGAACAGCATTTACAGGAAATCGTCGGCAATAATAGGTGAAAGAGAGTAGGCCTACAGAAACATTAAGACTTTAGTAGTAAATAGATTTCGTATTTATTTAGCATTATATTTTATTGAAACGCTCAAAGTGTCTGTGGGTGAAATGTAAACTGGGATCTCATTGGTTCAGGGCTGGGAACTCAGCCAGTGAGAGCATGTGTTGTATATGGTGTTGTATCTGACCATAGATATATATACAAGCACATGTGCATGTTCATATGTTTCATGTGTTTGTATATCTATCTACTATCTGACATTGCCACAGATCATTGGGAAGGAATGTGGGTTGTAACATGGTTGTAAAACAATCCAATGCAATCTAATAAAATTTGTGAATCATACTAGATAATATATTTGAAAAAAATAATTAAATATTGATAAATGATTTTTCAAAATCATGCTATAATTATGCACAGTCTGTCTGTAAAAAAGTAATATATGTAAGCGGATATGCTCTGTCTTGTTAGCTGCCTGTTTTTATGGCTGGTTTGTAGAGTGATATTTTGGGAAATATAGATAATTCAAGGTGTTGCTGCCCCACAGCCGAAAACAAAAATTTCCAAGAGACGATCCCAACTTGCGGCGCCTTCGTGCATAAGCCTGGGCCTCTAATTTGAGCTGGGCCTTAATAGTTTTAACTTTAGGGAGCCCAGGCTGGCTACTCACATTTTTGGGTAAGTTTTCAATCATTACAGTAGTTAAACCAGCAGGGCGAGGGGTTGGTTTGATATATGCCAAGGTAGGCCATAGATGAGATTAAGCAAGGTCGGTGTGATATATTTATTAATTAATTTAACCTTAACAAGTTAACATTGAATTTTATAATAATGTACTACACTCAAATAAAACTGATTGGTTTTGTATGTCTGTGCGCCTCGTTGGTAATCATTAACTAGTAGAAGCTCCGTTGAGAATCGCAGAGTATCAGCTATCGCTAATAGAAGAATGACTGTGCATTAGAATATGCTATGCATATGGCCCGTAGACCTACAAATGAGAAAGTAGTGTGCTGTCTGAACTTATATTACAACATGAATTTTTCTGATACAATAATGTCAAATATAAGGGACGATGTAGAGCACTGCTGTACATGTATATATGTAGCACTATGTGCTAAGAAACAGCCTGTGGAACTACAAGAAATTTCATCACTATTATATATGTATGTATTCTTATAATAAGCCCTGGATAATCTTAAATTCTGTCGAAGAAATTAATTTTACTCGAACTATATCTGCATATAAAATAAATAATAAAAATAAATAAGATAATTGAATTGCAAGGACATCTTAGTTTTTGCCTCAGTTCAGGATAGGGTTAATGACAATTGTTAATGTTTAAAGAAATGTATTTTTTAGTACATCATGACAATACATTTAAGACCATAATACATACATGACAAAAATATAAGCAGGTAGCACAATAATTTATAAAGGTAACAAATTATTAAGAATGGCAGGACTTGGTGTGTGTTCAGATACATGTCATGTATGCCTTGTATCACTTTTATGAAGGTGGAATACTTATTTTTGGAATACAGGATTGTACTGAGCACTATAATCTCAGAACCGGGATATACTAGATAATAATGCCCATTCAATTTTCTTTCAGAAGTCTTGATTATCCAACCTTTGCTGATCTCGTATTTTGTTATATCAGGCATAGTCAATCTGCTTGTTATATGTACTGAAAAGCTGTACTGAATGACAGTGCATGAGCACTACTACTATTTTTCCCAATATCATGTTGATTTGCCTCTCAGGGATGCACATGCTGCAATGCTAGCTTACTTTGCACAAGAAAGGGAAGCAGTTGCTACTACTGTCATGTCAGTGAGACGCTGACATGGCCTTGCCACAACGAAGGGCAAATCTGGGAAACAAACTTTATGCAACCACTCATCTTAAAAACAATGACTAACAATAGTTATCTGCCCTATTATTTTAGTTATACTGTAGAGTGTAGATTGTAGAATGATGGTGTTTCCTACGAATTAGTTCTTCGTTACTGACGACTGATCGCCGGTGTTGTGAATTGCACAACTATGTAACTTGGTTACTTTGTTGGCTTCTTCTAACCAATCTGTTCACGTCATATTCATTGGATTTTGCAGTTCAGTAACTTAGGCCTAAAAAAAGACGTTTGTTTCCGCTAACCCGACCGAGTCCATTCCATTTTAAACCGCCGTGTCGAAACTTATTGGGATTGGCAAAAAAAAATATATATATTTTTCAAAAATCAAAAAAATCCTAACGTGATATCGATCGTTGAATGCATTGATTTGACTTTGAAGTCATTATATTGACTGTTATAAGTATAAAAAAAGTATTGTTAGAATACAAAAAAAACATTTGATAAAAAAAAGTTTTGCCTGCCTACCGTGTCCAATTTTTTTCAGCTCGTTAGCGGTAACAAACGCCTTTTTTAGGCCGTAACAAACATTCTGATTGCAGGCCCTAGCTGGGCAGCCCTATAACCTTCAACAACATTGGGTGTGTTATGTTTTAGGTTTTGCATGTGTACAGATTGGACAAGTACCATGTGCATAAATGTGCAAACATGGAAGGCCAAATAATCTAAGTAGTTGACTTACAAATTATCAGGAGTAGATAATAGAAGATAATAGGAGTATTATCACCGCCGTATTATTAATAGGAGTAGGAAGATAATAGGAGTATAGGAGGATAATCAGGAGTAGATAATAGAATAGTCTTCTATTATCTACTCCTGAAATTATGTGCATGTGTGAACGTGTGTAGATACTATGGGCATTAGTTAATATTATATTTTTATAATATGGCTGAATGTACATTCCTTGAGAACTAACATTGCACCAATCTCAACGAAGTTTCTGTTTTATTACACGCTTTTTAAAATGAGACAGTTGACAGTTAATGCGATAATACTTGTTTGTATTAACTGCTGTCGTATTTTTTTTAACATATTTTGGAACCATGTATGGTTGTATTTTGACAGGATGAGTTTCATCCATTCATTGAGGCTCTGCTGCCGCACGTAAAGTCCTTTGCCTACACCTGGTTCAATCTACAAGCTGCGAAACGCAAGTATTACAAGAAGCATGAGAAGCGCATGAGCATTGATGAGGAGCGCAGGTGTAAAGAGGAATTGCAGGTAATGGGAAATATCCGTGATGAAATATCTAATTAGGGCGCACTTAGTTAATTGCTCCTTTCAAATAGCACAAAGGCATTGTGATAAGTAGCACACTACCTGACCAGAGAAATAGACAGTTTTAAAATTTGGTGCTGCCAGTAATTAGGAAGACCGAATTGTAATTTACATTATATAGAAAATATAAATGTTAGTTTGTGACATATTATATAATGCATGAAAATACCAGTCCAGTGCTCATAATTTTTATGGTTTGTGTGCATGTTTTTACTCTTAGTGTTTGTTTATGCTAATAGCATAACTTTAATTAGGAGCTTCCACTCTTAAGCAAGCAAAAAAAAGTTTAAAATTGACAATCATGTCAATATAGAGAAGGCAGCACAAGTAAGTGTCATCTATAAGTACAAACACTGGCAATTTACAGTTTTTTATTGATTTCTCGATATTGAATAATTAAAATAGTATATAGCTAGTGTTTGTACTTATAGATGACACTTACTTGTGCTGCCTTCTCTACATTGACATGATTTTTAATTTTAAACTTTTTTTATGCTTGCTTAAGAGTGGAAGCTTCTAATTAAAGTCATATTGCATTAATCTTTTACCCTATTTAATTAGAAAAATGTAGCATACGAGTCTAAGGTGAAATATTTTTGTTCCTTTTTCTCCACAAGTGATTTCGTGTGATTTTAAATTTTAATTCTGCAGTGCGAAAAAGTTGAAGTCAAACAGAAATGGGCGTCGCGCCTGCTCGGCAAGTTACGGAAGGACATAACACAGGAGTGCCGAGAAGATTTTGTGCTTTCAATTCAAGGTAACTGGGATTTAAGATCGCTTTTCATCAGGTTGGGCCAGGTGCTTAGCGGTTAGTGCAGCATCAATTTGTTCAGAAACAGCTAACATTCGATTCCCGGTAATGTCAATAAATAAATGCAGAGGGAGCCACATGGTAGGTGTAGTCGCAGTGTCCACAGTGGGTGTAGTGAAAATTCTGGCTTATATAGTGTCTGTGATTATTACCTGAGGGTCAGCACTCCCTGACTTTACCGCTTAATGACGCATGCACTGCAATACGCACAGCGTTCAATATACACAAGTATAGCTCTGAAAGGGTGTTGTGTGCACATATTATGTTCAGAATCCATTGAAAAGCTGAGAATAATTGTCAGCCTGCTTCTAAGTGTAGGGTCACTTACAACATTTGCCTAAGATAGAAGGAAGTTTCATCTAGGCGAAAATATTCCTGTTAACCAATGGTCGTCTCCCTTTTCTCGGAATAAAATAACGTCATTTACACAATGCACCTGTTTATTCGAGCTCTAGTAAACAGGTGAAGGGAAGACCACAGTATGTACTGAATGAGATAAATGTGTTTGTAATCCCACTTAGATTGCACGAAAAGAGCACGTTTACAAGATCTATATGTTTCAGGTAAACGACAGTCGTTGTGTGTGCTAAGCAATCCGGATCAGAAAGGTAAAATTCGTCGGATAGATTGTCTACGGCAAGCTGACAAGGTGTGGCGGCTAGATTTGGTCATGGTTATATTATTTAGGGTGAGTATGGAATGCGCTCTTTGTCAGTATCATCTTTGGAGAGGAATTTGAGTTTTAGTGCAAATCATGCTTAAATTGACTACGTCACAAATTTTCTATGGTCAAATTTGTAAAATTTTTATTGCCATTTTTTTACATTAAAAGTAAGAACTAAGGGGACTAAACGTATCGTCAAATTCTTACCTGATAAGATTGTTTCTCAACTAGTTAAAAATCCAAAAAACCTGGACGATTTGATATTAGTGTTCCTGGCATTAATTGCTTGATATGGGCTATGTATGAGTCACGAGTGTATGTTCACATCGAACAATATAGTAGAATAAGAAGTATAATGCAGCAATTTAACCATAAAAAGTGAACAGAATTGCTTATATTTTGTGGAAAAGTGGAAATATTTTGTTTATTTTTTACTATTTACGGTGACGTAATCACTTTAACTGGCATCAAAATTTGAACATGTCAAATAAGAAATAAGGTAATGTAAGGCAAATTAATTCGTAAGAGTGGTTTTTATGTATATTCTGTAACCTATTTGAAAAAAATTAGTAGTACTCCAATAATGAGATAGTCATATGGTATTGGTATTAAAAAAATCAAAACAAATACACAAAAATCTAGAGATACCTGTACTGCCTTAGGAGTACAGCTGTATACCAAAATAAGGAATTCTCCGTGTATAAAGGACATTACATGCATTAACTGATGGTTTCCATAAAAGTGAATTTATAATTTCTATAAAGCACAGTTTCAAATTGATGTTATGGTGTTTAAATGTGTCACGTGGGGTTTGGTGTATGGAATATGTGGATTGTATGTAGGATAATTTCATTTTTATTTGCTTGATATTCGAGCTTTATAAAAAATTGTAAATGTCGCTTCGTGCAGCTTTTGGGAAAGTATCATGAATTGTATGCAGCTGACAATCTTGATGTGGTTGCATTTGGGTATAAATTTACATTCGACTTCGAAACAAACCGAACAAAACCTAAATGTTCTGAAATGTTAGAAAATCTTGTCCACTAGGAGGCACCACCTTCTATATTTTACCAATTAGTTGATGCTGCGTTTCACGAAATTTTAGTAATTCATTTATTTAATTGAACAATTTGTTAAGTCAATAATATATTCATGTTTTGCTTATCTTACGTAGCATGTAGCTTGTTGAATGATAATAGCATTTTCCTTGACCTTGTGCATGCCATTTGTGCTCATGCACACATCATATCATTAAAATGACATTATTGTAGATCTATGTCTGTCTACTTTATGACATTGATATGTGATTGTTCTTAAAGTGAGGTATGTATTGGTGTATAAATTAAAAGTCTATATTACCTTATCAGGAAATTCAATTTTGTCTGGTTGCCTTACCTATGCCAGACAGTACAGTTTTCCCGATAGGTCACAAAAGCCAATATGCTTTAAGATTCTTCCGAGTTTTCAAATAACCTGCTATTTTCAGTATGTAGTCACATGCATAAAATTGCTATGGTGTGCTTTGTTTTCAACAGGCTGTCCCACTAGAGAGTACGGATGGGGAGAGGCTTGAGAAAGCACCCGTGTGTGCAAACCATCACCTATGTGTTAATCCTTACCATGTCAACATATCTGTTAGAGAGCTAGACTTGTATCTGTCGAATTACATCCTAAGAAGCCGTGAGTATTTCTTATTTGTTTACAGTTCTGAAAAATGTAGAAGGAATTGTTCAGGGAGCTGATTGTTTATGCAGGCAGTGTAATCTTAGTTCTTGTGTTACTTACATACTGTTGTTGTCCTGTTTTAAGTTGTATATATGTCCATCTTACATTTTAAGATAATTAGCAATGGCAACTAGAACATCTTTTTTATACTAGAAATGCATACCTCAATTCTTTGCATTCGCTCCTCTATGCTCTATATATAATGTACAATTTGAAAAACCTAGGAATGAGAGTGAACATGTTTACATTTTAGAACCGGTGATGATTGGTACTGAAAGTATGCAAAGAAGGCGTGACAGTGACGAAGAAGTTCTAAGTAAGTAGCGTCACAGCTAACGTGTCTTGTATGTGTGCCAGTGATCACATTTCTTTAGAGTTTTCTTCTGTTCTGTTCTCGGTTGCAATGGATGAGTACCACATGTCACCATGTTTGACACGTGGATATTAAACGGAGGATATGATATATTATATGCCTATTTTATTTCCTGGCATGCGGCAGTGAATGGCCCTTAAAATATGCTATATGCTACGACAGGCTGTTTGGTGCGCTCCCAATGTTATAATAGAACCTATTTCATCCTGTGATCATTTATTAACGTTTTGTGTTGATGTGTAATGCACCTGCCTCTAGCATGAGCGCAGTATGTGATGAAGGGCATATATGTGAATTATTAGCATGCTTGGTATGTTAGTATCGTTTATTGCTTAAAGGTCCAGGTGACTACCACACAGTCGCACTGACATCGAGTGAAGACGGTGTACACGTTGGCGGTGTTTATACGGCTGCCGAGCTGATGAGATGCACGCGGAGTACGTACCTACTTGTTACTGTTATTACCTTCTCCTCTTCCTCCTCCTCCTCCTCCTCCTCCTGCTCCTCCCTCCAGCTCCTGCTCTTGCTCCCTTCCCCCATTTTTCTTGTTTTTTTAATACTTTTTTGCCTTCTTTATCTTCTTATTCTTTTTCGTCGTCTACTTCGCCTTCTTCTTATTTTTTCCCTGATCCTATTCTCCTTCCTCTTTTTGTTCTGCTCCTTCTACTCCTCCCCCTCTTCCCCCATATTTTTTCTATTCTTTGTATTCTTTTTATTCCAGTTACATGGTTATGCTAGTTCATTTCCTGTTCCAATAAATTACGTATGAAGTGCAGCCCTTCTCTCCTAGTATTAGCTTCATATCGATAACTGCTCAAAAATATTGTTACTGAAAGAATTTCTGTGAGTTTTTGTGATAATTATAGGTATGTAGGGACATCATTGTTGTAGTGAAACAAAGAATTATTGTGACACAGATTTACTGTATTACACGCGCTACTTCTGCATTTATGCACGATTTCGTGAGTGAACATTACACCTTGGCTAAATGTCCCTGTTGTACTTTTAGTGTCAATACTGGGTCCTCAGAATGGAATTCCAGCCATAGTGAAAATGGAAAACCAGAATCAGCATGGTAGTCCCAGTTACCCGCCTGATCAACCCCTGGTCATCAGTACAGCCGGCCACCAGAGTAAGCAATGCATGCTAGCTGTGTTCGGTCACTTTGTGCACCATATGCAGGCTTAGATAATGCCATTGCACACGGGCACGCACACACATATTTAAAAAAAATATGCATTTATGTTTCTAATATCCTGTGAAGCACGTACACCCTGCTATATGTTGTTCACTTAGGAAAACCTGGTGTGGCAATTTCATGTACGGTCATGGATGTGGATGTAAGGCTTCACTGTAATTAAACAGTACATCTATCATTGTGGAAAATATGTGGATATATATATGTGTGTATATATATGGATTCTATGTGGAAAATGTTGTCGATGAAAGTACATTTAGAATCAGTCTAGATGCATCCATACATTAGCACACCCACTGGGCACACAATTTGCACACGTTTGTTCATTTGAAATAAGGTGTGGTGGGGTGAGGGGTGAGGGGAGGGTGAGATAAGGTGTGGTGGTGTGAGAGGTGGGTGGGATAAGGTGTGGTGGGGTGAGGGGGTGGTAGGATGAGGTGTGGTGGTGTGATGGGGTGGGTGGGGGATAAGGTTGGTGGCTGGAATGAGGTGTGGTGGGATGATCTTGATGGGGTGGGATGAAGATGACGTTGCTTCATGGTTGGTGGGTGTGAGGGTTGTGGGTCGGGGATGAGGTTGGTGGGTGGAATGAGGTGTGGTAGGGTTGGTGGGTGGAATGATGTGTGGTAGGGTTGGGTGGGTGGAATGATGTGTGGTAGGGTTGGGTGGGTGGAATGATGTGTGGTAG